TAGGTAACTGCTTCGTTCAGTTACGTATTGCTATTTTAATTTAATTTTTCTACAATTCATCAACATTTAAGCATGGATTAATTTTAAACATGAAACTGGTTGTTGACACAAAAATACCATGCTACTTATAAGATTATTAGGAACAGAGTGGTAGTTTATTGTATATTTTATCCTTTAGTTATGATTTACTGAAGATTCGCATAAAATATAAATACTTCTAGAATTAAAGTATAATTTATGTTTAATGAACTGTTATAATTTATTTGTCATATTTAATATGCTGTTTTTATTCCTATAGTTACAAGAGAAATTGAAAACGCAACAAGATGGAATTTAAATAATCTCAAAACTACTTCTTTCAGACTATATATTGCAAAATTTTGTTTAATAAAATACATTTGAGTCAAATTGAATCTCTGTTGTTTATATACCTATATTATTTAATAACGAGTTTTGCATATATATAATCAAGTGTATATTTAAAGCAAACACAATTCTACAATAGTAATGTTTATATACTATTGCAGATGATTTTCATTGATATAAAAAATAGATATGAGTAATAAAGATATGAGTTGATCATAAATGGAAGACAATTATTTATTTTATAATAGGTACATACTTACTTTTAATTATATTTATTTATGAGTGTGAGTGATAAGTTTTTAAAAAAATAGAACATTTAATTAACAGTTCTACATTTGTAGAACATTGGATGAAGCAAATATATTGTATTCATAATGATTTCTAATCAATACTTCTTGGTGTATTTCATGTTTTTTAAATTATGACAACATAAACACTGAAAATTAATAAAAGAGAAGAATAATAACATTTAGCATGTTTTACATGTATGCATTCAATATGCGAAATGGGTAACAAAGTGGTCTGTAGGAATATCGTCATATGTGGTTTTTGTCAGTGTAAATAACACATATTATTTAATAATTAATGTGGATTATAAAAAAAGAAAATCTGCCTATACCTTTTATTGATTATAATTTATTTATTTTCTAAATAAATCGTGCAAGGCTTTGGGTTTGTCCTTTGTTGATCCAAAGATGGTTACAAGATAATTTACAATGATAAATTTATAATTATTTTCCAATGCCCATCAAGAAGTTTTGAATAACTATTGTATAGACTTTGACAAAATAACATTAAAACATTGGTATTGTATCACTGTACCTGTTAACCAATTAATCCGGCAGAGCAGTTGGTGTAATGTTGAGTGATTTACCTATTTACCTAATAATCTTCTACATTTTAGTTTTGATACAATAATGTTAAGTAGTACTATTTATTTAATATAAGTGAATACAATGTTATAATTTTATTAATTATTCTTTATTATGCATGAAAATAGCATATTCATAAATTAAATCTAATCATCATTAAAAAAAATTTTTTTATTGAAATCAGCTTAAACTATATTACATTTATGCTTATAATACAACTAGTTATTTATTTATTTCCTTTTTATATCAGATTATATATTGATCAAACTTTTACAATAAAAATAAACAAATTATTTTTTGATTGTTTAGATATTAGTATATTATATAGACAAATGAATCTGTTTGAAATATAATGACAATCATTACAATTATAATACAAATATAAACAAATAGGTATCGAGTAATAAAAGTTTAAGGTAGATCATAAACAGGAAACAATTATAATTTTAAATTAGCTACATGCTTACATTTAATAATATTAATAATGAGTGTGACTGATATTTTGTTTAGAAAATAGAATATTTAATTAATATTCTTACATTGATATAATATATATGTAGCATATATATTCATAATGATTTTTAAACAATGCTTCTGGGGGTTTTTCTTGTTTTTAAATTATGCCTGTATAAACATTAAAAATTAAAAGAAAAGAAGAATGGTAACAAAGTGGTTTGTAGGAATATTGTCATATGTGGTTTTTTGTTAAGGTAGATAACGCATTTTATTTAAAATTTTATATGAATAATAAAAGAAAATGAGTCTTACACTTTTATTGAATATATTTATTTTTTTTTTTTAAATATTATACAAAGGCTTCAGGTTAATCCTTTGATCATCCAAGATCTTTAAAAGCTAATTTACAAAGAAAAATTTATAATTATTTTCAGATGCCCATCAATAAGTTTCGACTAACTTTTTTACAAACTTGCACAAAATAATGTAAAATATTTGTACTGATTCACAGTACTTATTAAATCAATAATTCCAGCAGAACAGATAAAACAGTTACTTTAAATTTGAATTATCTACATTTTAGTTTTGATAGAATAATTTTAAGCACTATTTATTTAATATAAGTGTATACAATGTTTTAATTTTATTAATTATTCTTTATTATGCATGTAAATAGCATATTCATAATTTAAATCTAGTCATCATTTTTTTTTTTTTAAATATTTTATTTCAATTAGCTTAAACAAAACAACATTTATGCTTTATAATACATCTAGTTATTTATTTATGAAAGAAAAGTATTCTACTATGTAGTTTATTTGCATTTTTAAAATTGTTTCTTGTTGATTTAAGTAAATGTGAAAAACCATGTATAATCAATACATTTTCATTGTCGTGTGTTATATAAGATTTTTTTTTTTTGTAACTTCAAATAATTTTCACATTTTGAGATTATTAGATCCTTGATCACAAATAATCACTTTTAAATTAAAAATATATTCATTTTATTTTTGTCATAGTATACTCTACTATGCACTTGAATTGATCTCCTGTAACTGAACCACTTATGATCAAGAATCCTAATACTTGTTTCCAAGATAATGTTTAACTCTTAACCATCTCAACTTACACTTGGTTGTTGTGATCAATTTTAAAATCTTTAAAAATATCAGATTAAAAATCTTCATATCAATTAAATTTATCATTTTGTGAGCTGTAGATAATCAATTGTTTTAATGAAATTGTGTAGATTTTTTTTTCACTTATAGACGCAGTTTGATATTTTAATTTTAAAATATTTAATATATTTTGATTTACACTTCAACAAACATCCAAACCTTCCAATCATTTCCCAGAGATCATACGTCCGGCAAACAAAGGAAAATCTTTATGAAACAATAGGCGACAAGTAAATGGCAATATAAACTAAGGGCAAACAATTTCTCAGTTTCTTCGTATCTTCATATCTTTTTTTCAATTGCTTTATTCGAAATTCAGATTTAACTATTATGTTGGTTCTTAACAAATTATTTCTTTTTAAATTACTGCTTTTAATATGTTGTTTATACTACTATCTTAAAAATAAAATTTTGATTTTGTTTTTTGAAATAAGTTTTTTACAATCACTCATTGTGTGTGTTGTGGGCGAGTGCGTATGACGCGATGACAATGTAATGTGGAAACATACACATACACGTATAATAATGTACTACGTATACAGTACAAGCCTCACATGTAACATTTAAAATATTTTTTACAATGAATTCCTTAAATATTTACCACCTCCAATCCGCTACAATATGTTTCGTATGTCTATCAGTAATATATCAGGCATCAGCTTTCAAAAAACGTATAACGCTAACAATGACGATGGAAATTATGGAATAATAAAATTGGAATACAGTTATTATTTGAAGATTTTAAACACGAAACGAACGACAACACAATATCAGCTGATATTTTCCGATAGTAAAATAAACCAATCAACAATTGCAATTTTTTTTTTAATATCACTACAATCTACGTCACAAATTTGTATACATTTATGCTATATCTAACTTACCTTACCATCATATTTTTATTTATGATCCGAAGTTGAAAAACACATTTTGGTTATTTCTTTGTGTTTATTTCATTTATCACAATTCACAATATTCCTGATTGTTACTTTGTTTAATCTGTTCATTCATTAATTATTTAAAGTGCTGAATAGTAAATTCGTGATGTCTGTAGTTTTGCATCACCTAAACATATGTCGTATCTGCCTTTCCGAAAGAAACCTCAGAAATATCCTAATGTTTGGAACTACAACTATAAAGTGGATAGAGGACATAAAAGCGTACTATAAGATCGAAGTAAGTTTATGTAACATTCACTTATTGTATCATACGTTTTGTTTGATTATTAATTGTTGGTCCCTTCCAAGACACATCGATAAGCCTTGATTCATCAAATACTTTAATCGGAAAAATAAGGTAGGTACACAGGTAGGTATAGATCATTGCAACTATCTACATGATATATGGTAAACTCAAACGTATTTTTACTATGATCATAATTTAATCCTGTGTTATATTGTTTTTAGACAATTCTGTAATATTCAGTATTAAATAAATAAATAATAATTCTGCCTAACAATATTGAATGCTTTAAGCTCATGCCAATGAGCACATATGGGTAGTCAACTTTTCTGTTTAGCTTCTTTCACAGGACTTAACTTATAATTTCCAAAATATCTATCACCTAAGTAGTCTCTTTAATTAAATAAGTTATATGGTAAATACACAATGAAAATTCATTGTAATTTTTTCCAAGTTTTGTTGGACAGATTTACTCATTTTATTTTGTCTTTTTGTGAACAAAATCGTTATGAAATAATCTAACGCAATGATGACCTAAAGAAAGCGCAGTAACATAAATGAATTCACCAGAATAATATATAGATATTCAAGATTACCAATAAGTATGAAAAAGTATATGTTTTCATCATTCTACTGTAACAATCAAAGATCTATCTATATTGAGTTTAAATTAAAATCAAAACAATTATGTAAAATTAAACAGTAATTTATAATAATAAATTTCAATTTAATCATTGTAAAATATTAGACCTATTTTGAGATACACAGTGCTACAACACACATTTTTTGTTATTATGCCCATTACAGAAATGTTCAAAATATATTATATACCGTTGAATTTAATATGAGTTAAATAATTACACTAAATGTTGTTTGGAGAAGAAATCAGTAGTTATTGACACGCTTTTACAAATATCATGTATAATAATTTTATAAATACACATATAAATAATTTAAATACAAATTCACAAATACCAAAAGTTACTAACTTTTCGATTATTTATTTTATCTGATGTTTGCACATTTCGACATTTTTCTATTTTGAGCACTTATTTTATGATTTTAATTGCATATATCATCTTTAAGTGCATATTTTGATGTTTTTTAAGACATTTTTTAAATATATACTATTTTAGTTTATTATAATATAAGAAAAAAATATTTGTATAGTTTTAATTAATATCAAAATAAATTAATAGGTATAAACAGTTTTTCCAAATATAACCTTTGACCAATAATTGGGGAAATAAAATATTTAGATAAATCTCATCATGATAAGAAAATATTGATTACGTTAGTAATTAAACACTGTCATTATTTCACTATTGTTCAAAAAATAATTTTTTTATGCATATTTTAACATTTTAATCCATATAAATCCGTGCTCTTTAATAATAACCTATGTCCAATTGAGTAGTTTTGATTAAATTTATCGCCATACCTAAATTTATAGTCTTTGCCCCTATGTATTGATGATGATCTGATTTATATATCTGAACGATCAATTCTTATATCTTTGCTAAATAATAATTTTAACACCCTCGTCTCATTTTTGAAGTTAGCTTAAATCACCGACCAGTTAAATTATAGTTTTTGAATTGAAGAAGCCAAGAAGGTTATATGACAAGTGTCAATATGTCTTATGTTTAATTGCAAATTTAATAATTGAAAATAGGTTTGTAATTATATCAATTTTATATTTGTAGTTATCATCCCATGATAATAAATCTACAAAACTATGTATCGATTGCATGAATAAAGTTGAAAAATGGCGCAAAATTGTGGATAAAGCAGTCAGCAATCAAACAATCGTAGAGTTTTTTGCTGAAAAGGTATATATACATTTTTAATATTCTATTCTTATATCAAAATTAGTTCAGAATAAATTAGATACTGTAGGTTGACTTATCATTAAGTATATTTCATTATATGTTTTTACATATTCTTTAGCTATTAGAGTAATTTATTTTGCTATTAGTAATACAGTAGATTAATGCAGTTTTTTTCTGAAAATATTGCATTTATTTTATGATAAGTTTTTAGTTATAACTCAAAATGTTATATTATAATACTGTTAATACTATAAAACTGTAATTATAGGTTCATAGTTAAAATATTCAATATATTAAATAAATAAATCAAAAATGTAATTGCATATAGTAAAATTCATAATAGCATAGTTTACTAAAAAGGTTTAAGTTCTTAAGTTCTAGGTTTAAGGTGATTCATTATATATTTGAATGACTCCTGTGTTGAATATTTTTTAAATTTTTCAGTTCCATCATAAAATACTTATGAGAAATATAATATTATATTTTTAAACCTAAATTATAAAAATTATAAATTTTTAAATTTTCTTCCATAAAATACTTAAATTTTGTAATTTTTATGATTTTGACATTTTTAGTAAACATTTGAATTTAATATCCATATAAACAAAATAGTGCCTATCTAATTTTAATAATTTGATATGGATAAAAATAATCTAAAATTTCCTATGCCTTAAAATAATTAAGTGTCAAAATATTTTTAAAATTATACCATGTATAAAAAATGATAATTTAAATATTTAGTGAAAAAATATAAATTGATATATTCAGTAGAAAACTCTATTATAATAGATAGCAAAACGTTTAAAGAACCATGTATAATAATTTTAAATCTTGGTTATGATCGAAAGATTTTATGAATTTCTACCTACAAATTTCTGGGTTAAAATACTAATAGAAGAATGATGTGACAATAAGTTTTTGTTATTTTTGATTAGGATCTACATCTCTTATGAAATACATTGTGAAATTTTTTTTAAAAATTTTTAATTTTCTATCAGTTTTTTATCGTTATTTATAAAAAAAAAAACTAAATTAAATTTAAAATTTTAAAAATTTTACTATACATAAAAATGATTATATAAATACTTAGTGAAAATTTCTATAAATTTCTATGGTTATTTTGCTTTTGAATTATAACAAAGTAAATAATTCATTTTTACGGTTTTATTTCATTTTTTGTTTTTTCCAATAAAAAAAAGTACTGATATTTTTTATTTTTAATCCCTTGAGTACTAAATAGATCCAATTGGCTACCAAAAACCACTATTTTAAGTTGAAAATCGAAACATTTTACTCTCCCAACACTTAAAAAGTGATAACAGATAAAAAAAATAATACATTGTAAAATCAATACATTCTTAATTCTTCTCAGAATCTATAACTAGTCATAATAATAAATTACAATGAAAGTTTTATTTTTTTTATTCTTTAGTAATTTGTTACATAATTATTTTTTATTATTTTTCCTGTACTCTAGTGTAAAAATACTTGAATACAATTTAATTTAAGTACCTATTTCAAATTTTATTTATTTATTTTATAATTATGTTTATGTCTTAATATTCTGGGTAATAACTACGTGGTTATAATATACTTATCAAAACAAAATGTAAAAGTTCAATTACCAAAAAAAAAAAAAAAATTATAATTAAATTGATACTTAGAATTAAAATAATTATTCTTATTTTTATTTTAATTTGAGAATAATTGTTATAATATTTAAAATAGCATATTAATTAATAGAAAATAAAATATAATATACCATATTAACTTAAAAATATTTATAAGTATAGTAAATAACAAAAATGGTAGTTTATTATATATCACAACATATTAACACCTGTTTATCCTTTGGTTAGGATACATTGATGATTTATAAAAAAAAAAAAAACATTTCTAAGTTAAAAATTATAATTAATGTTTTTATGAGCTGTTGTATAATTTATTTGTCATATTTTAATATGTACTGTTTTATTTCTATAGTTACAAGAAGAGATGAAACGCAACAAAGATGGAATTTGAAATAATCAATCCTCAAAAACTACTTCTTCCAGACAATATATTATAAAAATGTTTTCTAATAAAGAATACACTTAATTAAAATTGAATCTCTGTTGTTTATATACCTATATGATTAAATAACTAGAGTTTTTGCATAATAAACAATCAAGTGTATATTTTTAAAAGCAAACACAATTTTACAATATTAATATATACAGATTACAGAACTTGAATCGTTTATCGTGGATATAAACAAGTAACTATCGAGTAATAAAAAGTGATGGTAGATCATAAATGGAAACAATATTTTTTTTAAATAAGTTATATGCTTGCATTTAATTATATTTATTTATGAGTGTGAGTGATAAGTTTTTAAAAAAATAGAACATTTAATTAACAGTTCTACATTGATAGAACATTGGATGAAGCAATTATATTGTATTTATAACAATTTTTAATCAATACTTCTTGGTGTATTTCATGTTTTTAAATTATGACAACATAAACAATGAAAATTAATAGAAAAGAAGAATGATAACATTTAGCATGTTTCACATGTATGCATTCAATATGCGAAATGGGTAACAAAATGGTTTGTAGGAATATTGTCATATGTGATTTTTGTCAGTGTAAATAACACATATTATTTAATAGTTAAACATATTAGCTAAAAATTATAGTTAATGTTTTTATTAGCTTTTGTTTTAACAAAACTGTCAATTATAGATTTTAATTTTAGCTAATTATATTGGTATAAAAATGAATAGTTATTTTAGGCATTTTAAAACTGTTTAAGGAATTTGGTTTTGATGTGTTGGTTGTTGTTTGCGGGGGGGGGGGGGGGGGTCGTACCCTGTGCCCCCACAATTACAACCAGTTTCAGCTCTTAATCATGAATTACAAATAAACCTATTTGTAGACGATCAAGGTTCACAATAGCATTTTTATTTTGAAAAAGACGGTTAAAATGGAAGATTTTTAATACCTTTTTTTAAATCTCACACGTGACAACATTTTTTTACACTGAATCCCTGAAATATATTCAACTCTATTTCAGCACGATATGCTTCTTTTATTTAAATTACATACAGTGCACATGATGGCTTTTGCCATCTATGGTTTTTCTTTATTCTTTTAAGGTTTTAATCATAAAACAAATGACGCTTCTGTATCAGCTCTTATCTCGCGTTATCTAAACAGCTGCAAATTCGTCATTTCTATACAATCAATACCCTACCTTTATAATATACAATTATGCTTAACCTACCTTCCATAACAATAATACTGTTATTTGTTTATGCACCGTAGTTCTTAAAACGTGTTTGATTAATTTAATTGTGTTCAGTTAACGCAATATTCTTCATTAAAATTTTTATTAAGCATTTCATAGACCACTAAATTCATTATGTCTTTAAACGTCGATTACAGAAATATTTGCCGCATCTGCCTTTCCCAAACGGATCTCTCGGATGTCCTAAAGTTTGGTGTTACTTCTTTGCAATGGGTAGGATATATCCAAGAATATTACCAAGTCCAAGTAAGTATATTACTTACTAGATTAGTTTTTTTAAATATTTAGTTTTGTCGAAACAAGAAAAATGTAAAAATGCTAACAATGCATCAAAAATCACCAAAAAATGCAAAATCAAAGTGATTTCATTGAATTTTACATAATATAAGTCACATTTCTGTAAAAACAATACATATTACCAAGCATTATTCGTTTAAGAATATATACATTAACAAATAAAGGTGTTAATTCATAAAGTTCCTGACCTTATTAATTATACTAGTAGTTATTAGAATAAGTATCTTTGATTCAGACCATTTATTGATCCTTTGCATACAAAGTCGGCGCACGCCTATGATGATCATAGTTTAACGCTGTGTTAGGTTATATTAGTATTACGAAAAATACTCAAAGAATAATCACAGAAATTTTTCCAAATATTTTGGTCAAATCTATTCATTTTATTTTGTTTTTTGAAAACAAAATTGTTATGAAATAATCTAACGTAATGTTCACCTGTAGTAAACGCTCAAACAAAATTGAATTCGCCAGGAAATTATAATAAAGTGTTTCCAAATTGCCAATAACTATGAAAAAGTACATGTATTCATAACTATACTGTAACAATTAAAGATCTATCTATACTGAGGTTTAATTAAATTTTAAACAATTAATTATACTGAATTTCAATTTGATCATTGTAATGTATTATACTTATTTTGAGATAAATAATACCAACACGCACACCTTTTTGCTATTATGCTTATTACAAAAATGTTCAAAATATATTATATACCGTTTAATATGATTTTAAATAATTAATTACACAAAATGTTGTTTAGAGAAGAAATCAAAACCCATGGACATGCTCTTACAAATATCATTTATATAATATTTAAAATTAAAGTGACCTTTAGCTACTAACATGTTAAATTATAGTTTTTTTGATTCAAAGAAGGCAAGAAGGTGATAGGGCAAGTGTCAATATATTATATTTTGTTTTTCACTATGTGTTTAATTTCAAATGTTAAAATTGATAATAGGTTTGTAATAATATTAATTATATGTTTTTAGATAACATCCTATGAGCGAAAATCAACAAAATTGTGTAAAAAATGTATAGAAAATGTTAATAGATGGCGGCGTATCAGAGCTTCCGCCCAAGAAGCTCAAGATGTCATAAATAATAGGCAAAAACTGGTATGTAGACTGGTATTCTATGCTTATCTTAAAGTCAATTCAGAATAAAGTAGATTTTGTAGGTTGACTGTCTATATGATCATGTATACTACTTCATAACATGTTATTTTTAATTATAGCTAATAGAGTAATTTCTCTTACTATTAGTTAAAGCAGGTTCTTAGTACAATTATTTAATATTTGAAATAAATAAAATAAAAATTGTATATAATTAAATTCATACAACATAAATTATTCAATCAGATTAAGTCCCTATAATTATTGTTTTCGGTATATTACAAAATTATTATCATCGTAATTCGTCTATAAATTAGGTACATAATTTTATTTGATTGTCTACTGTCTGTGTATATTTTTTTTTTTTCCATTGTAAAATAATTATGATATATTTTATGTAACATTTTCAAACCACAATTATATAAATTTTTAATTTAATTTTTTTCTACACAATTCATCAACATTTAAACATGGATTAATTTTAAACATGGTAACTTTGGTTATTTGACACAAAAATACCATGCTACTTATAAAGATTATTAAGAACAAAATTAGTAGTTTATTGTATATTTTATCCTTTAGTTATGATTTACTGAAAATTCATATAAAATATAAATACTTCTAAGTTAAAAATTATAATTTATGTTTTAACGAAATGTTGTATAATTTATTTGTCATATTTTAATATATACTATTTTATTCCTATAGTTACAAGAAGAGGTGAAACGCAACAAAGATGGAATTTGAAATAATCAATCCTCAAAAACTACTACTTTCAGACTATATATTATAAAAATTTTGTATAATAAAAAATACATTTAATTAAAATTGAATCTCTGTTGTTTATATACCTATATTATTTAATAACTTGAGTTTTTGCATAATATACAATCAAGTGTATAATTTTAAAAGCAAACACAATTTTACAATATTAATGTTTACATATAACATAACTTGAATGATTTTTCATTGATATAAACAAATAGATACTGAGTAATAAAAGATGAAGGTTGATCATAAATTGGAAACAATTATTATTTTATATTAGATACATACTTACTTTTAATTATATTTATTTATGAGTGTGAGTGATAAGTTTTTAAAAAAATAGAACATTTAATTAACAGTTCTACATTGATAGAACATTGGATGAAGCAAATATATTGTATTCATAATGATTTCTAATCAATACTTCTTGGTGTATTTCATGTTTTTAAATTATGACAACATAAACACTGAAAATTAATAAAAGAGAAGAATAATAACATTTAGCATGTTTTACATGTATGCATTCAATATGCGATATGGGTAACAAAGTGGTCTGTAGGAATATTGTCATATGTGGTTTTTGTCAGTGTAAATAACAATATATCATGGAAGTCTGGTACACTATGTGGCGCTTCAAAATTAACCAGTCTAAGTCCTCGCTCACTACTTTCACGCTTCGTCTCTCTCCCTGTCCCGAGGTATCAATATATGGCACTCAAATCCCTACTTCTCTTACAGTGAAATATCTTGGACTTATACTTGATCGCAGACTTACTTGGGCCCCCCACCTTAGATCTAAAAGAAATAATTTAAACCTACGGCTGCGCCTGTTAAAAACTTTTTGTAATAACAATAAATACACGCACATTAAAACTAAACTCTTAATTTACAAATCTCTAATTAAGCCCATCTGGACATATGGCATTCAACTCTGGGGTAATGCAAAGGTATCAAACATCAACAAAATACAAACCTTTCAAAATATAGCGCCAAGGAAACTACTTAATGCTCCACCTTATGTCTCCAACCAGTCCATACAGCAAGATCTCATGATGAACTCCGTTAAAGATGAAGCAAAACTCTACTACAAGCGTTTCAACAGTAGGTTACCCAATCATCCTAACCCTCTTATCAAAAACCTAGCAGTCCCTTCGATTCCGAGGAACCCCGTCAGACGTCTCAAACGTAATTGGTGTCGTGACCTGCTAGATGCATGATTCCTGATTCCTAGATCAAATCTTCCTACAAACTCTAATCAAAATAGGTAGTGTCATCATTGGGTGGCTTCTTCCGTCATATTATTCATGTTATTTTTAGTACTCTTATCTAATTTGCTTATTGTTCTCTGAATAGATTGTAAATATCATGTAAAATTAAAAAAAAAAAAAAACTTTATTTGAAATTATGGGGACATACGATCTGTGACAGAAAAAGTAAATAATATATTCTTTACTGTGAGTTATTTTTATAGCTGTATTTTTAACATTTTGGCAGTTATATTTTTCTCCAATGAATCTTTTCTATTTCTTTAAATATCTATTAAATAATATAACAGTTAAGGT